GCAAAAAAAAATAAAAATAAAAAAAAAAATAAGGAACAGAATCATCCTTCCTTAACAAGGTAAACACAGGTTCTAAACCACAGCCTCACTGTACTTAACTGTGAACCACAATAGCAGAACTTCCCATATATATGTATGACTGAATCACTGTGCTCTACACTTGGAACTAACATGACATTGTAAATGAACTATAAAAAAAAGTGGAAGGGACTTCCCCAGTGGTTCAGTGGTTAAGACTCCGAGCTTCCATTGCAGGGGACATGGGTTTGATCCCTGGTCGGGGAAATAAGATCCCACGTGCCACGCGGCGTCGCCAAAAAAAAGCACTTCCCCAAGTGCATTCCACGGAACTCCGGTCCCACAAAAAGAGTTTCCCAGATTCAGTAAGATTGGTAAACTGCCTGTCTGGCCTGTCTCAGAGAGTCACCGCACACAACAGCATGTTCAGTAGCATTTGTAAATTGAGGGTTAACAGTCCTCACCATTTGGGTTTGGTTTTTTCTTTCTGTTTTTTGAGAATCAGAAGAGAGCGCTTATCCCATAAGTGGTGGCTCCTGCTGTTGCTTGGCCGTCAGTGCATTGATGCCACACGGGTCCCATGCGTTCCATCATGGTGCGCATCCCCCAGGAGGGAGGCGCTGAAGTCTGGCCATGATAGACTGGTCAGGAGCCAGTTGTGGCCAGTTGGATGGAGCCTAGCCTGGGCTTGGAGAAGCCAGCAGTTTTAATTTGCCCACATGCCATTACTGTGCAGGGAATCTAGGCTTAGCCACACATCTCTTAATCCACAGGAACATGCTCCCCACCAATGAGTGATTAGCCCTGTGGGGCTGGCCGCACATGAGCATTACAGCCAAGAGAGATTTATTTCAGCTGATTGTTGGGCTGAGCCTGACCTAGGAATTCAGAACTGCACAGCCACCTCCAGATTTCTGGGAAGGAGGTTGGGAAGGGTTATAAGCGGTGTTGCTACCTCTTTCTGCCCCAACTCATGGTTCTGAGAAGCTCAGCTGTCCCTTTAGAATGCTCCTTTCCTCAGCATTACAATCCAGAGGCCTTCCATGACTAAGCTACAGGGACTCCAAGTCTTACAGGTCTTCTCCCATCCCCTACTCCCACCACTGGTTTCAGAATCTTAAAAAAAGCAGAAAAGTGGAAAGGGGGAAGTGACAGCCCTCCACTTCCCTACGACTCGGAATGAAGCCCTGTCTGAACACAGGCACACACCCCCAGCCCCCGTCATCGACTGGAGCAGGAAGGATCCTGGGAAGACACACACTATTCCCAGGACCACCTCTCCACGCCTGTCTTATCTGTAAGGAGCCAGACTTCAGCAGTGGACGGGGCTAAAAATTTTCACCCACCCTCCAAGCCTCCAGGTTTCATTAAAATTAATGAGTGAGAGTGGCCCCTATGTAGAGAAAAGGGAACCCTCCTAGGCTGTTGGTAGAAATATACATTGGTACAGCCACTATGGGAAACAGTATGGAGGTTCCTTAAAAAAAAAAAAAAACTAAAATTAGAGGTACCATATGATCTAGCAATCCCAGTCCTGGGCATGTATCTGGAGAAAACTGTAATTTGAAAAGATACATGCACCCCTATGTTCATAGCAGCACTATTTACAATAGCCAAGACATGGAAGCAATCTAAAGGTACATTGACAGATGAATGGATAAAGAGGATGTGGTACATATATACAATGGAATATTACTCAGCCATAAAAAGAAAAGAATGAAGTAATGCCATTTGCAGCAACATGGATGGACCTGGAGATTATCATACTAAGTGAAGTGAGTCAGACAGAGAAAGACAAATACATGACATCACTTACATGTGGAAATCTAAAATATGATACAAATGAACTTATTTACAAAACAGAAACAGACTCACAGACATAGGAAACAAATTTATGGTTACCAAAGGGGAAATGGGGTGGGAGAGGGAGAGGGCTAACTTAAGAGTTTGGGATTAGCAGATACAAACTACTGTATATAAAATAGATAAACAAGGTCCTACTGTATAGCACAGGGAACTATATTCAATATCTTGTAATAACCTATAAAGAAAAAGAATATACATATACATGTATAACTAAATCACTTCGCTGTGCACCAGAAACTGACATTGTAAGTCAACTATACTTCAATTTTTAAAAAAAGAGTGGCCCTTAAGGGGAGAAGAGGCTACTGTGGTTTCCTCCCATCAGAAGCCCAGACGTCTTGGGGGGTACGTAACCACCAAGCACATGATAGACAATCATAAATAGTAGCTACTACTAAAAACCCTTATTATGCGTGTGTGTATGTGTTTATATGTATGTTTGTACATTGATCGCCCCAGTACCAAGGCATGTGGACCCTCATGCATCTTAGAGTATAGTGGGTACCAGCTCCTCAACCACTAGAGCAGTGGTTCTCACTGGGGAGGCAGTTTTGCCCCTCCAGGAGATATTTAGCAAAGTCTGGAGACATCTTTGCTAATCACAACTGGGCCGGAGAGTGGGAGCTACTGGCAGGGATTCTAGGAGGTAAAGCCAGGTATGCTGGCAAACATCCTAAGATGCACAGGACAGCCCCACGACAAAGAATTCTCTAGCCCAAAATGTCAATAGCGCCACGGTTGAGAAACTCGGTGCAGGCACCCTACAAGCCTGCTATGTCTAACAGCCCATAAGGTCAGCGGGTAGTATTCTTAAAGACACAAAACTGCAGCACTGGCCCAAACCAGGATTCAGATCGATTTCTCTGGGCCACCCTGACGTGGTCTAAGAAACATTCCCGGTAAGCACCAAGAGTGAAGAAGTGTTCAGTGTGGACCTTTGTGACTCTAAATAGGGAATCAGATGCTGATAGAGTTGATGGATTTTAGGAACACTTCTTTTGTGCTTCACGTGGCGAGGGGTAAATTTGGAACGCTTCTCTTTAGCACCTGATACTGCTTGTAGAGAAATGAGTGTGATGGTTAGCACTCGAGGGTGAGTAAGCTCCAGCCACCTCAAGTGTCCCTACAGGAGAACATGGCCGTGTATGTATTCATCCAGCTTCTGGGTGGCCAGCCCTGTGCGAGACAGAAAAGGAGAGAGAAAAGGCCATCAGAGCAAAGGCTGTGGGGGGCCGTGGAATATTCAAGAGGACAGTGTTATGAAAAGCTTTATGACTCGTGTTGTGGTGAAGAGTGTGGGATTGGAAGTCAAGAGACCTCAGCTCCAACTCCTCATAACGTGGGCAAGTCATTCACCTTGAAGTTACCTCCATTAGCTCGTCGGAAAATCAGGACAGTCACCGTGACTTGTCGTAGCAGGGATGCTGTGGAGGTTAAACTGGTTTACGTGTGTAAGTCTGCTTTGAAAACTGCCACCGTAGCACAAATGTTGTTGTTCACTGAGGAAATGAGTTTAACTCACTAGACCGATGTTTGTCCAGTGCTATTAACTTGCCAAAGGCTTTTAAATTGCGGTTAGTTCATCTAGGAAGTGTAGGCTCCTGGGAAGGGAAATAGGTGAGTGAGGGTGTGAAGGAAGGAAGCAGATAGGATCAGCAAAGCACAGGGATAGAGATGACATTCGGTTGGGGGGAGGGGCAGGGCACCAGAGGGTCCCGAGTGGAGCAGTCTTTATTCATTCCCACCTCCCATGGCCAGGCATCCCTGGCCCATCCCAGCTGCTCTTTCTGCCACTCGCGGGCCCTTGGCAGTTGTGTCCTTGGGTTATTATTCCCGCCTGTGGATACCTTTTGGAAAGCCCAGCCCCTGCCCTCTCAGTCAATTTTTGTGGTTGATGGAGAGGAAAGGGGCACTGCCCATCCTCCTTTCCTGACCTGTGCTCAGAGCTCAAGGCCAAATCATGATTTTCTCCCCCTCCCCTGAAATTGAATGACCAGAGCAAGGGATGATTCAAAGACTTCTTTCTGTCTCCTTGGGAAACTCTTCCTGGAGCCACCACGTTCTATTAGAGCTCGAATTTTCAAAGTGGCCTCAAGAATTCTGCAAAGAGGCTGCATGGCTGGTCTGCTGCCCAGAAGCACCATATCAGTGTTGACACTCGGACAACATGTGTATTTTGCTCCTGGCAAAGACTAATGGTTTGCTTATGAAAATAATAGCTTCCATTTATCAAATGTCTTCCACGTGCACAGCACTGTGTTCAATACCAGACATTGTCCCTAATCCTTCTAACAACGTGTAAAGTTAGTGATAATCGCCTTGCTTTATGGATGAAGTAACTGAGGCTCAGAGTTGTTGAGACACTTACCCAGGGTCACGCAGCATAATCGGCAGAGTGAGAACCTGAACCTGTGAACTCTCAACTCCAGAACCCGTCACTGCCTCTCCACCCATTCTCTCCCAGACTCTTGCCCAACACTCTGCCATGCTGGGGTTGAGGAGAGGCTTTTCGTTTAAAGACAGTGTGTGTGCGTGTCGGGGATTTATTGTTTGGTTTGGTTTTTTTGCAGTAATACATGGGAGAGGGTAGGGTACTGGAAAATCTTTTCAAGATCGAGAAACACTACAACGAAGTAAAGGTCCACATCTTGAATATGCACAGATATTAGTCGTGACCCTGGAAGTGTCAGGCAGATGGTTTTTATTCATTCATTCACCAGATAGTTCTGGAGAGGCTGTTTATTTCCTGGGGAGTGTTGTGTGTGCTGCTGTAAGAGATGGAGATGAACAGGCAGGATCACCATCTGGGAGCCCTGGGTCCCTTGATGCGCCTTGCTTGTCCCACCGCTAAAGACCCTCACCAATAGGGTCTTTGAATACTTTGGTCAGTTGTGCTGTCGTGTTTTTACCCCAGAATGACGGAGGGGCTGGTGGCAGTAGTGGTTGTCAAATGTATGCTCTACACTCTTCTGATCTCTGGCCATTGACACAGTAAGGAGCGTGCAGGTAAAATAAGCCACGGTCGTACCCCCACACCACAGAGCGCCTCCCTGCTCACTTGGGGTGCACGAGAGGCCCCCGCTCACCAGCTGCATTCTTTTCTGTCCCCTGTGCAGTACCTGCAGATGAAATGGCCCCTCCTCGATGTCCCCGCCAGCGCCACGGTCAAGGATACCAGGTCACCGTCCCCAGCACACTTGGTAAGTCCGTTTCTCCTTAAAGCATGGAAGGGACACTCGCTGTCTTGTCCCATGTCCCTGCCTCCACCTTCCCGCAGTTCTAGCAAGTATTGCCCCAAGTGTGTGAGCCGAACGAGTCAGGGGCACAGCAGTTAGGGTGTTGCCCGTGCACGCCCCCATCACTGCCACCTCGGCACGCGCTCATACCACCCAGGATGTTGTGCGATCGGAAACGCCAGCGCTGCCCCTGGCTGGTGACCCCCGTCCTCCCCTGCCGCCCCTCCACCTGAGCAGCGGCGTTCTCCATTCTCTCCTTTCTCTCCCGCTGGAGCTCGGTCAGCAGCCCCCGATTCTCCTGCAGAGCTGCATGGCGACACTTGAAGAGGCTCTTCTATAAAGGATGTTAGAGAAAAGAATTAAATTAAAACATAGGCAAACAAAAATCCCGAGGGGCAACTGAGGCCTTCCTGCCAAGGTCCGAGGCAACACAGCCACAAAGGAAGGTCTGGAGTGTCCCGGGAGGAAGAGAAATGGGATCTGACAGGTCTCCTCACCTGGGCTTGCAACAGACTGAAATCGTTAGGACAGGAGATGTTCCCAGCCGGGACCCTGCACCTCCTTTTCCTGGACTTTCTTAAGAGCTTGGGGCAACCCACGTGCCCCACAAGCTAACTGATGTTGTCCCCTGTGCAGTGGATCTCAGAAACACAGAGGGTTCAGTTAGAAGGAACCCCAGCTGGTGTGACTCATCCATTTTACAGACAGGGAGACCTGGGAATACATGATGCTTCTAAAACTTTATTAGGGCAAATTTCAGTGGTTCCCTTCAGCCACACTGGGTTGTTTTCAAGCAAATCCAGACATAGTATTTCATCTCCTTCAGGACGTTGTAAGATATCCTCATAGCCCTTTTTCGTTAAAAGCTTAGAGCCTAGTTGAGGAGAAGGAAGGTATACATAGAGAGATACATAATGGCACAGTGAGCCCGTATGATTTCCAGGAATCGTGAGACCAGCTTACAGTGGCAGAGCCCTTGGTAGTTCACAAAGCAATGTCATGTGTAGTTCTGAGGTGACCGTCACAGCCATCCACTGGGGAGACACGTGGGGATTGCTGTTTCACAATCTCTAGGAGAAACCAGCGAGCAACAGGGCCAGCCGTCCTGTGCAGGCTGCCCTGAGATGTCTGTGGCCAGTCACCAAGTCCTGAGTAGCCTGTAGGGCCTGTGGCCCTCCAGATTCCAGGACAGCTTGGGATGGCCGAGTGCGAGGTACAGGCGCCCTCTAGTGGTCAGTCATTGTGGAGGACATGGCATCCCAACCCCCACCCCCACCCCCCAACAAAGTTGGCTTGTCCCCTCCCAGCACAGCTGTCTCTGTTTCAAATCTTTGCTCGCACCCCACCCATCCTGTGGCATCCCCCAGCCAGTATCCTTCACATACTGTCTTCGTATCTTCTAAAATCTTCATTTACATTGAGAGGAAGTGAATTCTCTTTAAAATTAACACACGGACTCTTTGAGTTTCCCATCCTCCCTGTTGCAGAGCAATCCAGCTCTGAAAAATGAAATAAAAAGCCTGTGTATGGCCCTCCACCTCCTGTGATGCATCATCTTATTTCCCTTCTAACGTTCACCGCCCAACTTCACGCAAGAGCTAGACCTTCCACCTCCATCCCCGATCCATTTGCCATCTGATACCTAGTCTAGTCATTTGCCCAACTTTTTCTCAACCCTCTGCTTCCTATAATTCTTTCACTGGCTCCGGGAGACTGTATTAATAGACATTATCAAGGGTTTTTTTGCCCTCTCTAAGCTTCCATTTTCTTTCTGGATTCTTTTTCTTAAATAAATCAGCTACTCATCCTCACTTATTATCTCATTGTAAGTGGCATGAAAATATATGAAATCCCTAAGCTCTTAACAAGGTTCTCTACCCATAGTTCCCACTGCCAGGCAAACCTACAGCCACTGCAGATGTGTGTTATACGGATATGATCTCAGGACTGCGGTGGAGCAGGGGCTCATGTTTTGTCTGAGAGTGGAAAACCGGGAACAGTGGATACATTACATGGTAGACAGCAAAATGGATACTTTTCTAGTAAGTTGTATATTATTATACTCTGCACTCTAATATAGATAAACAGACCTCAAAAACTTAAAGAACATTCATGGGAGAAAACCTTAACATTTACTTGAAATTCTGTAGACTGGGAGAAGACCGCCGTTCTCCATTTTCAAGTCAGGGCTTCTCATTCTAACTTCTGAGAGACACGTGTGTATGTGTATGTAGGAGCCAGACCTGAGATGCCTGTGTGTTGGAGGTTGTTTAATAAAGTGGGCTTGAATCCCACCTCCACCTCTTCCTACTTGTGCAGCTGCAGGAAATTACCTCATCTCTCTTTGCCTTGGTTTCCTCATCTATAAAACAGGAATTAGAAGAGGACTTGACCTCAGCGTTGTGTGAAAATGAGGCCACGCATTGTAATGAGTTTAGAATTGTAACTTGCACAGAATAAGACTCAGTGGTGGCTAGCTTGCTACTATCACCACCACCACCACTAGCACTGCTTTGATGAAGAGAGGGAAAGAACAATTAAAATACTGTTCATTTAGCAGACTAAGAGGTGATGAAGGCTCGAATTATTAGGTGCCAGATCAAACAGACACACTGCAAAGGTAACGGAGGTAATAAGCCTGGAGAATTTAGCATCTGCTCTCTCAAGGATATGATTTAACTGGTCTGGGGTGGGGCTGGTATCTTAGTTTTCTAAGCTCCCTGGAAGATTCTAAGGGGCAGCCAGAATTGAGAATCTGATATTCCCTCAGCCCATATCAGAGGCAAAAGGGAAGGAGGGGCCAGAGACCATCCCAGTTTATTAGATGCCGGATTCTGTAGGCTGCAGGCGTAAGCAGAGAAGCAGGTTACCGGAAGTAGTCGGAGGTTTGGATGCTGGCTTTTTTTTTTTTTTTTTTTGCGGTACGCGGGCCTGTCGCTGTTGTGGCCTCTCCCGTTGCGGAGCACAGGCTCCGGACGTGCAGGCTCAGCGGCCATGGCTCACGGGCCCAGCCGCTCCGCGGCATGTGGGATCTTCCCGGACCGGGGCACGAACCCGTGTCCTCTGCATCGGCAGGCGGACTCTCAACCACTGCGCCACCAGGGAAGCCCAGCTGGCTTTTTTTATTAGAAAAATGAAAACACTGGATTATGGAATTCCTTTTGGAATCATAAGCAAAATATTTTGAGATGAGTTTGGCCCTGGGAGAAGGGCAAATGGAGGAAACAGCCTGCATACTTGGAGAGATGCAGTGAGTCATGTCGAAGCTGCCTGTCAGGGATATGTGTATAAATAAGCCGTAACTGGGCCAGGGTGGGGATGGAATTACGTGTTATTACCACTTGAATTTTTATGTCTTTGAAACAAGCTCTAAAAACTAAGTATCCTTGAGTGTAGACTGTTACCCTGATCCCTCACCGTGGCCCACGTGCCTGCTCCGTGTCATTCCCTCCACCCTCTCCCCGGAACGCTGTGCCCAACCACACAAAACAAACATACGCGCTTCCAGAGTATAACCAACCCAAAGATAGGACTCTCAACTCTTTTGTTCACGTCTGTTTACCTAGCACCTGTCATGCCTGGCACAGCATAGGTACTCAGGAAGCATTTGTGAATGGATGGAAAATCAGTGATCTGGGGAAAGGTAGATGCCCACTTTTGAACCCCTCTCTGCCTCTGAGTCCAATTCCTCTTCTCGTTCAGGATTTTTAATAAAATCTTTTTTTTTTTTTTAATTTTTTGACCACACTGTATGGCATGTGGGGTCTTAGTTCCCCGACCAAGGATCGAACCTGCACCCCCTGTGTTGGAAGCATGGAGTCTTAACTACTGAACCATCAGGGAAGTCCCTAATTAAATCGTTTTTGAAACCAGAAAAGTAATGCATGTGTGTGTAGAACACTTGGGAAAATGCAAAAGTACGCAGAAAAAGACCTGTAATCCCACAACCCACAAGCATTTTATTTCAGTCTCTTGTCTGTGTGTGTGCACACCTGTAACTTGCTTTCTAGATGATGACTGAATACTTCTTTTAACCATAGTGAACACCCTGTTTTAGCACTAAGCTTTGGGCCACACTCAGAAGCAAGGCGCAGAGCTTTGCATCCAATGGCTAATGGAAGGCAGGGCCTGGAAGCCCTCCTAAAGGGTGACTGTCTCACTGCTCCAAAGAAGTAGCTGAGCTGAGAGCTGAGAAGCCTGACTTTGCTCAGCATGCCAGTTCTCAATTAAAAACATTCATCGAAGTTTCCCTTTTTAAATTGTATAGTTTCTCCATCTTATAAATATACCTGTGAAGACCCCAAAACTCATCACATAGCCCGTTGCTGCTCCTTTCTGCCTCCAGTGCTGATTTCGATTCCTACTACACAGTATTCACTTTTTATTTGGATATAAGTTTAAACTTTCAGAAAAATTGCAAGAATAATACAATGAACTCCCATATACTTTTTATCTAGATTCAGAGATTTTTGCCCCATCCCTTGCCCACCCTCCACTCCCTCCCTCTCCCTCTCTCTCTCTCTCTCTCTCTCTCTCACACACACACACACAGACACATGCAGTATATATGAGTTTTTCTTAACAATTTGCCAGTAAGTTGGAAACATTTACCCCTAATACCCCTTTACCCCTAAATACTTCAGATGTATTTCTTAAGAAGAAAGACAGTATCTTACAATGACCACAGCACAGTTATCAAAATCAAGAAATTAACATTTCATATTACCTAACCCACAATATATATTCAGATTTCAGTAAATGTCCCAGTAGTGTCTGTTAAGCTGTATGTGTTTCTTGGTCCACAGTTCAACCCAGGATCACAGGTTACATTTCGTTGCCAGTCCTCTAGTCTCCCTTAATCTCGCAGAGTTCCTTAGCCTTTCTCTTTCCTGACCTTGACATCTTTGGAGAAGTACAGACCAGCTATTTTGTAGAATGTCCCTCCATTTGGGTTTCTCTGAGGT